TCATCCGTTGAAGAACATAAAAATCAAAAGAAACTCGAAGAGAACAAGAACTTTGAAGATTAGAGTTTAGAAGTTATTTATCGAAACTTCAATTTATATGTAAAGGTATTAACTCATCGATTTTTAGCAAATGTATAAAGTTCAAACTATTTTTCATAATTCATCACTTGCATGAAAACGTTCTTGATATAAAAACGATTTTGAAAAAAATGAACATTTTGATATAAAAAATTAAATTTCAAAATTTATATACTTGGTCCATCGAAGTATAAACCGATCGACCGATCTATTCGACCAAAGTGTCAGCCGAAACTCCAACGGTTTGAATTTTACAACGGCTATATTCACATTTCGGTCGACCGAAATTGATCAACAGAAACTTCCTAATTTTCAAACTTTGGATCTATAAATAGCCATCTCTTTTGCATTCAATCCCAACCACTTACAAGAGCAATTAAGAGAGCATATTTATTGAAAATCATTGAATTTTCTTGATTATATATTCTATTTCATTTATCGCAAAGAATCTCTTGATTGACAAAGCTAGTTTCATCTATTTCATTAAGAATTCTATTTTGCAAGAAAACTTCTCAATCTCATTTCAATTCTAGATAAATGTTTTTTTTGCCAGCACTTATATTGAAGTGTAAATCTCTCTTCATACTTAACTTGTATTATTTGTTAAGAGAGATCATTCGTTGAAAACTTTGATACAAACATACAAATTATTTCATTATCCATCATTCATCAAAGTTTACAATATAAATACTTGAGCTTTATTATTTGCTATCTATTGAAGTGTTATCTTAACTCTTTAAATACTTGACTTGATTATATCATTTGTTAATAGAGTTCTTTCAATTGTAAAATTATCATTTATATTTTGGTGGTTTCGAAAGTCTTGTGAAAACTCGATTGTTGTTAAGGATAGATACTTCTTATTGTAAGTCACCTACAGATAAGTGTTCATTATTGTAAGTCACTTAAGGATTGATAGTCCTTGTTTGTAAGTTATTATTATAGTGCATTTGACCTTACTCGTGACGAAAATCTTGGTAACGGAGACGTAGAACACATTGTGTATCGAATCCCATTAAATTCCCTTATTATCTTTACATTATTGCACTTTTACTTTAAATTGCTATTTATATAGTGCTATGTCCATACTTGAATTAAGTTATCAAATTTGCATATTTACTTTTCGTATTACACTTTACATTTATATCTTATGCATTAAATAAGTTTGAGACTAGTTATCGAAAGAGTTTCAAAAATCAATTCACCCCCCTCTTGATTAGTTATTCTTAGATTATCAAATCCTTCATTTTTGTAAAGGATATTGATATTTTCACCCTTCAAAAATATTTCACTAACCAACAAACGTGAAATCTGAGAGGGCTATCCAAAAACCCAAATAGATGAGAGGTGCTGGTGACTCGTGGTTGAGACGAGAGGTGCAGGTCACGAAGGGCTTAGATGAGTGAGATTTGTGGTTTGAAACTGTTTGTCTTAGGCTGGCCAATAGTCGAAAACTTCAAAAAATGAGGATATAAATACAACAAAATGACATTTACGTATAAATTAAAGTCATTTTTGCTAATACTTTTTTCATTTTCTTGTTCAAACCAATTTACTTCAATAAAAAAAAAAAAATCCTAAATAAGTATCTTATAATTTAATTGATGAAATTATTTTATACAAATGCAAGATTCCTAGACACACTTATGCAAGCGCAATAAATTTATTAAAATATATTCTTATATTTGCATTTCGCCATTTTGACCTTCCCATTAAATAGAGGATTTACACCACCATTTTTTGTTTGATATATCACATTTTAGTTATACTGAATGTCTACAATATATGCTCATTATTGTACTTATTTCTTAAATTTTTATCATTTTCTAATTTCCAACATTTCGTCAAAAACATCATGGCAATGTTTAAAAAGACTTATTTACCACTCATATTTTTAAGCAAGAAAAAAAAAATAACGAATACAAAAGTGCAACAAAATACTCTATTCATTTTAAAAGTACATAATAGAATATTTGATACCATCATCAAAGACTATATGCGCTAATTAATTAGAAGTTAAAGATAAAAATGCAACAAAGAAATCTGTAAGACAAAAATGATAAGGAGCAAATGATAAAAATATTATTATATTTAAAATGTGGTATAGCAAAAAAATAAATAAAAGTGTGTTTGAGCCACATTATTTTGGAAGAATGTATTTTGGAATAGTAGATTGATGAAAAATGTGTGGTTGAAAAAGAAGGAACAATTATTGATATAATGAAAAATATTATTTCATTGAAAAATATGTGGTTGAAAATGAGTTAAAAAATGAGAATGAGAATGCGAATTTTAATGTAGCTTAAATGGGGGCTAAATAAAAAATAGTATATTAATATAATTATACATTTAATGAAATTGTATGCGGTCCTCACATGTTAAAAGGACCGTTGTACCCTTTCATCTTAGTGTAATTACAAAACATAAATTGTCAAAAAATAAATAAATAAATAAATAAAAATGAATAAACAAATTCGTCTTTCCTAGCACCTTCGTGTGCTTCCCCTGAATCTGCCCATAATACGAGAAAGATTCAAGATTAACCCAAAGTCATCACTTTTGGTGAAGTCTTTTTCAATTCTTAATGCAGGCCTAAACACAAATCGACAATTAATCAAATAAAAAGGCCAGATGTGACAGATTCGATATGATTTGCGCACTACAAATTTTTGTATGTTAAGGCCTTGAAATGACTTTTCTACCCTCTTATTTATGGACAATTTGTTTATGTTATTTATGAGAATTAATCTACTTGTATATTCTTTTGTGTACGCCTTTGATGATATTATGAGATGTGTAAAAATTGAAGCCATTGATTGTTTTAACTATAGTGAAAGTTAATGGCAAAAATAAACTATGCTAGGTTTACAATCATTAGTGGGTTAAAACACTTACAACACACTCACATTAATTGGTGGGGCCCACATTAATGTGAGTGCGTTGTAAGTGTTGTAACCCACTAATGATTGTACCAATATCTTTTTTGGGCAAAAATTGTATGACATCACACAATGTCATAAAAAATTGTCAACCATGAATGTACACAAGAAAAATTGTATTTATGAATGGTGTAGTATTAAGAATAAATCTTCTTGTACAATACTTGGGTTACAACACTAGTTGACAATCTCTCACAAGGAAGGTGAGGCCCGCGATTATTCGACTAGTGAGAGATTGTCAACTAGTGTTATAACCCAAGTATTGTACAAATAATCCAAAGTCATATATGCAAAACTTAAACAATCAATTGAATACATTAAAAGATTTGAACACTAAGCCCATGGTAGGAATTAAAATTTAGAATTTAATTTAACTTAAAGTCAATAATTAATTTTAATCATATATTTCATGAGATTCACAATTTTTCAAACAAACATTTTATCAACATTACCAAAATTAATCAAAAATTACTAAAAAAATTGATTTTAATTCCCAACTAAATAGGGGCTAAAAAATTGATCTAATTAAAATGATAGAATACACAACTTTACAAATATTGGTTTTTTGTGTTTTGGTTTTACCATATTTTTATATCACATTTTAAATATTAATTAAAGTTCATATTTATTTTGCATACTAGGTGATGGCAAACTGCTAATAATTTTTTCGGTTGTGATATATGTATATAATATTTTACATATACATAATTTGATGAAATAACACTGCATCAAAATCTTTTCAACAAAATTAAAAAGAAAAAAAGGAAACTCACACTTTGTTTTGACACTTCACCTGTATATAAATCATTATATAACTTTTTATATACACTAGTATTAATTCAAATTTTTTATTGTCACGACGGAATGAGACAATAAATAATTAAGTTTCATTTCTATATTTGATATTGAATGTATTATACTTCAAAATTATAATGCTATGAAGAAATGTCAGGAGGAGGACCTAAAAGAAGTGACAGTTTACGCCACACTTGGAATCAAAGATTCTTGTCCACCAAACTCAAAGATATCTAGGAAGGCATAGGCTTTGTGAGAATTGATCCTAAAAGGCACATTATATTATTTGTTGAAGAGTATCTCCATGCTAGGATTGTAACAAGTAAAGTGAAATAAAAATCATTAACATCCATAATATTGAAAAAAATGACCTAGGTCCGCACCTTTAAGACTGTTATAATGACGTGTAATATGCAACTGTTAATCTTTACCGATATTATTGACTATGACATGTTTCACACATTAACCTAAAATATCAATTTCGAGTTTTGAATTGATTTGACAGATAATTCCAACATCTTATAGACATGTTTTCCTTCCGGTTTATATATAAACCAATCAAGTCTTTCTCTATACAAAGAGAGATAAAATATAAATTTCATTATTACTTCTTTTTTTATCTTTTTTATTTTTTATTTTTATTTTGCAGCATCTCTATCAATAAAATAAGAATTTTAAACCAATTTCATAGAAAGTTGTTTAGTAATTCTAAGGTTTAAACAATTAAAAATGTAATAAAACAAGATAAAATTTTCCTTTGCAAACAAGGTAGATTTATAATATTATTGTTTGCCCTTCTAAGCACTAAGTAATTTAATTTGGGAGTGCTCCAATCGACCTCATAAAACATTGTCCAGGTTCATCCTCCCAAACTTTACACCACCCATATAAATCCAACATCAGAATTCCACCCAAATATTTCATTCCCAAAATACCCCTCATTACAATTTTCTTTCCCAAAAATCTACCTACAACAATTAATTCCCAATTTATCCCTAATCTTTAACACTAAGGACAACTTTTTGTTCCTTTAATATTCCCACTTTCTTAGAATTTGATTTTTCTAAATTTTTTTATTCTCAAAATATCCTATTCTCTCTCATTCACACTCTCCCTCCAAATAATATAACTCCTTCAAACCACCCCATTAAGGAAATAAAGAGAGAGAAATCTCTTCTGCCGCTCCAAATGGCAGCCATGGCGCTTTTCCTCAACATCGCCGCTCCTTCCTCCGCCTCTTACCCAGTACTGCACAAGACCCATCTCTCTCCACCCTTCCTCCTCCCCCTCCGTCACCACCCCACCGCCAGTACCCGATCCGCTACCAAGATTTCTGCCTCTCTGATTGACCCGGATGGAGGCAGGCTTGTAGAGCTTTTTGTTCGAGAATCTGAAAAAGATTCGAAATTGAAGCAGGCCCTGGGCTTGCCACAGATCAGACTCTCAAAGATTGACCTTCAATGGGTCCATGTGCTCAGCGAGGGCTGGGCCAGCCCATTGAAGGGGTTCATGAGAGAGTCTGAGTTCCTCCAAACGCTTCATTTTAACTCGCTCCGACTCAATGACGGGTCGGTCGTGAACATGTCGGTCACGATCGTTCTGGCCATTGATGATGTCCAGAAGGGTCGGATCGGGTCGTCCACCAGCGTCGCGCTTGTGGATCAGAACGACAACCTGGTTGCTATCTTGAACGAGTAAGAGAGTTTTTGCTATTTTTTCTATGGAATTTTGTTGGGCTGAATGCTATTGAGTTTTTAAGTGATTAATTATGTGAAAGATGCATTTGTGATGGAATTATGCTTCTCTGAGGTATGAATTATTTCTTTTACGAAGAGCTACTAGGAATTTTAATGCTAATAAATATTTAAAAGCTGTTTTTTTAAGCATATGGATGAATGATGGATTTTAGAATGATAATTATAATTTTAGATAATTTGTAATTGTTAAGAAGGGGTTGATTCCTGTCCTGGCGTGAAATTTTAAAACTTGATATACATTGAATGGGCTATTTTTTATTTTTTCCCCCCCATCAAAATGAAATGCTTTTTTTCAGGTAGTTTTAAATTACCGTCTCTCATGGAATTAGCTCTTTTTGCAACTTATTTGTGTCTTCATAGCTATTGCTGAGTTTCTTGCTCACGTTTTACGGATGTGTAAAACTGATAATTCTACTGTCATGCAATAATTTTGATTTAGTAGGTGACTTCATATGATATGCTGCTTTATTAGATTTCGGAATTGGTGTTTTGAGAGTGTAATATTCCAAGGTTTAAACGAAAAGATAAGGGTACGTTCTCTTTACTGTTTTCACGTTATTTTCAGTTTTCGAAAACACCGAAAACGCCTAATTTCGGAAACGAATTTTCAAAAACGGGTTTAAAATTTACAAAGAAAATGAAAAACGCCAAAAAAGTCGTTTTTGCTGTTTTTAGTTAAAACCAAGTCAAAACTTAATTTATTTATTTTTTTGAAAACAATTTTTCAAAATGATAAAAAGAAAGCGTTTTCAACAATCTCAAAATGGATACTCAAAACACAAAATCTAAAATTAATTCAAAACTAAAAATTGAAACACGAAGAGAACATCCCCTAAATGATTTGAAATTTACTATAGCGAGACCAAGGGTGTTTAAGACATTTTTCAGCGAATAGATTATTTGAGTTCCAAATTCATTGGAATTTTATACCAGCACGATCATGTAATCATATTGACATCCTATAAATATATGATTAACTACTTGCAATATTGACCCCTTTACAAAACCTATAGATACCCCAACTGCCATTGACTGTTTCTATACTTGAAAAAGGAAATTATTCAGATTTTGGATTATAGAAGAGTACCAATTATATTGAAAATAATTGTGCACGCCATCTTTTGGTATACGGCCAATAATTTGCTTCCCATGAAAGAGTAAAAAACATTTGTATATGATATTTTGGCTGTAGATTAATTTTCTCTTATCATTTTCTTCCTGCCATGTGGGTTGTGCTCTTAATCATTAGTGATGTTCTTGAGAAGTCTTGAATTTCAACTCTTTCTTTTCATCTATTGATTTTTTTATTTCAACACATAGATATATGTACCACAATTTCTCATCAGGTATTTTATTGATCTTCTTAAATCGAATTGTTACTGTAGCATTGAAATTTACAAGCATAACAAAGAAGAAAGAATAGCAAGAACCTGGGGTACTACTGCACACGGTCTACCTTATGTCGAGGAAGCTATTACCTCTGCTGGAAACTGGCTGATTGGTGGTGATTTAGAGGTTATAGAACCCATCAAGTACAATGATGGTCTTGATCGCTTCCGGCTTTCCCCTTCACAACTCCGTGATGAGTTTGCGAGGCGCAATGCAGATGCTGTGTTTGCTTTCCAGCTCAGAAATCCTGTGCACAACGGGCATGCTCTGTTGATGACTGACACGCGCCGTCGTCTTCTGGAGATGGGATATACAAATCCTGTCCTCTTGCTTCATCCATTGGGAGGTTATACAAAAGCAGACGATGTACCACTTAGTTGGCGAATGAAGCAACATGAGAAGGTGCGTGCGCTCTTAAATATATTGACTTGTTACTACCTACCTATCGATGAAGAGCCAATCTTTTTGCATTTTCTTTTCTGTGTGCTTCTCTTCACATTCTTTTTGCAGCTATTAAGAATTAGAGCTAATTACTTTTTTACAGCTGGCCAGACAGTGTCATGTGGGAAACACGAGGAATATTATGGGACAAAGTATTCCATTTAGAAGAGCTTGGCTAAAAAAAAAAAGTAAAATCAACTTTTTGTTCCCAAATATGTTTGGATACTTTGATAACGTATAAAAAGAAGTTACTTTTGAAAAATTTTTAAAGCTTACCTTAGTAACTGTTTGGTAATTTAGATGAAGAGAAAAAAGTATTTATTTTAATTTTTCAACTTATCTACTAATAAGTAAATACGTGCAAGTGAACTTTTAAGCATAGCTATTCCAAGGTTGGTTTTCATTAGTAGATAGATATATATTTTCTAGGATGTGCTTTTCTATGATCTTTTCCTTTAAATCGATGACTAATGGAAAAATTATAGAATGACTTGTGATGCAAATTTGTTGTATGAACTCGTACAATAGAAAGTATGTTCCATTACATACTGATTATTCATATTTTAAGTGTTATTTTAGGTGCTAGAGGATGGCGTTCTTGATCCAGAGACTACTGTAGTTTCTATATTCCCATCTCCCATGCACTATGCAGCCACCCACTTGAGAAAAGAGATCTGTATGATGCAGATCACGGTAAGAAAGTGCTGAGTATGGCTCCCGGATTAGAGCGGCTCAACATTCTTCCATTCAAGGTAGAAAAATGATCCTCGGCATTCTCACATTCATGATGTTCTTATTATGGGATCAATTGATGACTAAAATCTCAAGTATTCTCTTCCTACGGAAATTGGAAAAACAAAAAAAAATTACTGCCATGACATCGAAAAAAGAAATCTTGAATATTAATTAGTTATTATGGATGAACTCCAGGTGGCAGCTTATGACAATACTCAGGGTAAAATGGCATTCTTTGATCCATCAAGGCCTCGAGATTTTCTGTTCATATCTGGTACCAAGGTAATTTTATTATTAACCGCTTTGCTCAAGCCCTCTTTTGTTTATAGTAGCAGTAGCTCAGCCAAAAGGATCCTAGCCAAAAGGATTCTAATTCTCACTGTCATATTGTTTATTCCACGCCTAAATGATTGCCTTTTTCCAGATGCGAACACTTGCAAAGAACGGGGTGAATCCTCCGGATGGATTCATGTGCCCAGGTGGTTGGAAAGTTTTGGTCGATTATTACAACAGTTTGGCTCCGTCTGATAATGGCAGAGTACCTGAACCTGTCCCAGCTTGAAATTATTACTTGGGTAATTATGATTGGTAGAAACCTTAAACTATTTATCTCCAATGTATCATTGCATATAACTTTGTCAAACTCTCTTCATCTCAATAAGATCATAGGAGGCATAGGTACAGAAGAGCAAGAATTAGCCTCAACCTGTAATATATTGTCAAAAATGGCTCCTGAATTTGTGCACTCGTCTCGAGCATGCTGTATAATATTGTGTTTGTGCTGTGTGAAGAAAATGTATTGTGGGTTGCTGTTGAAACATGAACACTTAAAATTGATTTTGTCAGCTTATGATGCTGCAAAGTAATGTCAATTGACATCTTGATTTCACACTTTGAAGTTAATGAAAGGAGCATCAAATACAATTATACTAAAATATTTAGCACATCTAAGTAAGAAAATCTTGCATTAGCAAGACATGAAGTAAATTTCTTTTGATCCTTTATCTCTCTATAATGAACAATGTCAATCCCTGATAGTCTTATGAAGTTATGATAACATTCCATAATCTATTTGAAGTACGAAATAATACAATTTTACACCATTTAGATACAGACTTTTATTTATCAGAATTGAAGATTAGTCCCATCTCCAGCAGACGGGGACTCAGAATTTTTTTCTGTGCGAGCGATATAACTAGATGTGAAAAAAAAAAAATAATAATAACATTATAAGACAAACATTATACTAAAAATGAAGTACCTTATAATGTACACATTCTGTATATATAATTCTATGATCTCAGGCTGTAGACTCAACCAAATGAAAATAAAATCAGGCATAAAAAAAATCTTCAGCAATGTGTTACATAAAAACAGACTCATTCACTACTTCAATTTCATGATTTCACTTCGCAAAATCAAGAGGGTTCTGCCCTCTGACAAGAAGGAAATACAAATTCATTATCTTTATTTAATCATCCTAAGCTTTTGATCCCAATTTTTGACAATTTAGTGCTCACTACCACCACCTCCCAGCTCTTGTTTTTTTTTAATCGGTAAATGTGAATATTATAGATCAAAATCATGTACAAATACACCGGACATAACCCGAAAAAATAAAGATCAAATACAGGTACACTGGGCATACTCGGGCGATAAAAAATCAAGTACAATACAAATACACTAGGCAAACCCGAGCAAACAAATAAAGAATAGTACACCGGACATTCCTGGACGAAACATCAATCATATGGAACATACAACTACTACATGCATAGCCGATCAAAACAAAAGAAAAAAGATGTACAAACGATATGGACTAGTGACCCATAAATTACATAGCACAACTCTTGATTCATTTCTCAAACCCTCTCACGCCTTTCCAAATGGAGTATAATCTTCAGAATCCATTATGAAGACGCACAAAATTTCTCGAATTTCATACGAAAATTAGAAAAACTAACATTAGAAAAAACTAAAGGGTTTATTCACCATTCACAAAGCCTGCTTTTCAAATTTCCTTTGGTGGAAATTGGTGTTAGATATTTATACAATAAATATAATATGTGAAAGAAATTATTTAATGGGTTAACTAACCGGTAAAATATGACCGTTTTTAACTGTCCAATATTAACAACCCATTACCACTAGCTATAAAAATTGCAAATAATACTGGATCATGGTGGAGCAGTTACATCATTTTTCTGCATATATAAACATACATCTGGGTATTAGAAAATTACACAAATACGAAAATGTATCTTTCTATTCAGTAAAATATTATACTCAATTTAACATATTTTCTGGAGTACACTTGAGAGTTCTGAAAATCATTTGTGATTGCTGAACAATTGGTTTATTTGATCGTTACATCCTGGAGGTGATTGTCTACAGAGGTCGCAACAATTATCGACAGACAATTTCACTTTAAGATATCGTGTTGTCACGAGACTCGATCAGTCGATAAGTTTTATTTCTGCACTTTACAGTATTGCAACTATTAATATTTCTAACAATTGGGGGTTTCACTTTTTAGGTGCCGTTTGTGTGGGGTAAATCATTGGAAAGGGTTTGTAGTTATTAAAACAATCTTATTAGATTGGATCAATTATTTGGCCCATTTCATTTTTTTAACTTGGGCTGGGGCTGACCCAAAGTTCAGTGCAGGCGCCTTCATTGGATCTGCCCGTCTCCAAGCTTAATGGCATAACCACTATTCCATGAGACTGTAAATGTGCAATAAGCTTGGAATTCCTAAATTCCGATTGGAGCAAGATCGTTGAGATACCTATGTGTTCTTGATCTAAGAAATTCATAAAATGGGATCCCGATGCATATATATGGCCTCAAGGAAGGACAATGTTGAAAACTATACCACTTCTTGTTTTATCCTACTTCAGTGGCTACCCTAAAGCTGTTGATCATAGAAGCCAATATGATTACAAATCTACAACTTTCTTTGCGCATTTACCATAATGCCAGAAATCGTAGGATGCTGACCGTTAACTAGGTATTGGCAGTGCAGATCAAGTTACTAAAAATGTAGTATCCTTCATGCTACAGTGTAAACAATTTTGAGTTCGATAGCTGAATATTGAACTTTCTCTATGACGGCGTTTTGAGGAGAAAAGAGTGATACACATTTCATGAAATGAAAAATTGGCACTGCTTAACACTTGTGATGTTTGATTTTCACTTCTGGATGTTTGCTGTGAATAAAGGCCCCCCATTTGTTTCCATTTTTCCAACACTCTTTTCTCTACGTACTTATTTTCAATCACACATTTACATAATAAAATATTCTACACGTAAACACAAATCTAATCTCTACTTTTTAACCACACATTATCCAAAAAATCACTATTTAAAACAATATTTTTCCAAAGAAAATGGCCACCAAACAGGCAAAGTTAGAAAAACAACTCACTATGAAAAAGAGAAAGGCGGACAAATTTGATACAATCTTTTGAAGGAATATTTACATTCCTGTTAGGGAAAGACAGTGCTTGGAGACTCTATCATATACATTCTTTTCATAGTACTGTAAAATAGTGCAATCCATCTAACTATAAACCAAAAGAAAGTCAAATGGATTCTGTATTCAAGCTAGACATTATAAAGAACATTTGACTAATTGATTTTAGGCTTCAATAATGGCAACTTAGGGTTTCCTAGAGAAATTATGCACCTACAAACACTACGCCAAAAAACATCATTTACAACATTAAAAATGCATCATTTGTTGATAAATGTTGCTAAAAAGGTCTTTTGGTAACATTTTAGCAAGTAAATATTGCCATTTATTAATATAAATAAGTTTTGACAACGTTTTTTAGAAGAACGTTGCGAAAAGGACCTTTTGCAACGTTTATGGAGTGTTGCGGAAGGTGGGACCTTTTGCAACGTTTAATAAGCGTTGCCAAAAGTTTCAAAGCTTATTTAACCTAAACCTACCCTTGCCAAAACGTCGCCTTGCCAAAACCTACCCTTGCCAAAACGCCGGACAACCCATCTCCGGCCACCCTCTTGACCGGAACTCAACTCCAGTCGAAAGCTCACCTCAAGAAGACCCCAAACATGCCAACAACTCATCCCAAACAACTTTCCAACAGATCGAATTTACCCCTGAAGAGCAGTCTGTCGCTAAGATCGCGACAGCGCACTACGCTACTGCAATTTCCAACGAGGTTCCGGAGAACCATGGTAGCGCACCACCTGGGTTAGGTGCGCCTTCATCTGGCACACCTAGCCCAGTATTGGGTCTTCACCAATTTGGCCCAAATCGAAACGAATTTGAATCTGAAGTCTGGGCTGGTGCGAACGCACAAACACAGAATCTGATTTCTGCCAATTCTGATGCAACCCAGGCCATCCAAGGGGGGCGGAGCACTTGGGCTAGCCCTCCCTCAGCCTTGTGCACCTAGCCTAGTAATGGACATTCACCAATTTCACCCAAAACCTGCTCAATTGTTGGCTGCTATTGAAGGTTTGTGCGAAAAATTTGATTTTCATGATTTTGATATGAATTTTGTGTATTGCACCATAATGGTAGCAGGTGTTTTGCTTTCATATTCTACATGTATGAATCATGGCCAATGAATTTGTCGTTTCTTATGATTTTTATTGTGTATTTTGTCTCTTCATTTTTACAATAATGATGGATCTCTAGTCCAATTGTTACTGCTTCAGATTGTGAAGGAGCTGGTGAACAATTTTGTGTGACCTCAATTTTTACAATAAGGCATGATTGAATTGTATGATTTGGTTTCTCGTTTTGAATTGAGTTATTGGATTTTAGTGGTGAATTTGAGATGCTTTTGAAATTGATTTATGAAATTTGGAACTTTATTCGTCTTAGATGTGATTGAATTTGTATGATTTGGTTTCTCGTTTTTGAAATAAGTTATATTAGATGTGAGTTTGAGTTGCTTTTGTAGCAGCCTGATAAGTGTAGGGTTTTATTATTTTAGTTTGAAAGTAGAGATAAAGATATGGAACTCATGGGATTTGTTTGAAGTTTATCATATAATAGAAGTTGTGTAAAGGCACAAATTTATATGAAAGGATTATTCCTGGCATGTGCTGTAATACACTGTTTATAATAAATTAATTGATGTTTTAATCTCAACCCCTAGGTATGCTGTAGACATGCTTTAGTGATTGCTTACCATTATCTTTAGTGGCATAATAACAAGTGTTCGTCTCTAGCCCCCATGGTATCAATATATAATCATATCCTAAAGGACGATGCATTCCATACAAGAGTACCTAGGATAAGGAAATCTTCTATCTTACTCGAGGAATAATCCTTATTTTGCAAATGGCTTCTTATTCTTGAATGTTATCTCACGATTGATGGAAACCTAAATTTATAAATTTGATTTCATTCTTTTAAGTAACAATGTAATGCTGAGGCAGCAAGGATTATTACTCAACAAGAATGATGAGTACTGGCTGCAGGACAAGTGGATTGGTTGTTTCCCTGTTAAATGGCACATTGTGAAGGATGTACCCAATAGCTTGTTGAAGCACATCATCCTCAAAAAACAATGAGAACAAACC